GAATGACCCACTCTGGGAAAGGATGAGTGACCAAAACCCACAAGAAACGTTTCTTCCCCTGAGGCGGCTGGACCCACAGGCTCTTGAGGAAACCAAGTGACTAAACCACTGACAGGGAAGACACGAAGGCGATGGAGGGGAAGCGGAGGGAGCCTGAGGAGATTCTGCTTCCCTCAGAGAGGAGACAGGCGGGCAGAGACGTACAGGCCTGTGGGCGCCTCCCCCAGACTCGCCCGGCGTCCACGCTGCGCTGCAGCGGACACTCACCTCACGCCCTCTTTACTTGCTTTTCAGTGAGCTGCATTTTCTTTCCGTTTTTGCCCCCATAGTGTTGCTTTATTTTGGTTCCCAGTAGAGCAAGGGAGAGAGAAGAGGTGACTGCAAGTCAGTGTCGACTCCGCCTGGGGCCCCCGAGTCTCGGGCGGGCTGGGGCCGGGGAGAGCCTTCCGGTGGTGCCGAGAGCACGCGGCTCTTCTGGGTGCGGGGCGACGCGGCTCTTCTGGGGGCGGGGCCCCGCAGCCCCACCCAGCGCGGAGCAGGACCAAGCTCGGTTGGGCCCGGACTCCCGCCCGACGCCTGGGCGGGGCCCGCTGGAGACCAGCAGCGTCCGTCATGGTCAGCGGCGAGCTCGGGGCTGCCGCTGCCCTTCCCCGCTGCGACCTCTCAGCCCCGCGCCACGCTGCGCACTCCGACGGCTACCAGCTCGGGAACGTGCGCGTCTCCGTCCTCCACCCCAGACTGGGCAGCTGCCCTGGGAGCGGTGCGACCCACACGGAAAGCACCACCTCCCTCCTCAGGGAGCCCAGCACCTTTCCACCCGCTCACTCCTCCACGACGTAGTGGAAGCGGCAGGCGGGAAAAGGCAAGGGCCTCGGGGACACGCCATCATCTGAAAGCAGGCCTAGAGTCGGAGGCGTGAAGGGACCCAGGCCTGGTCAGTGAGCAACCCTTAGTGGCGCACTCAGCCAGCCGTCGGGGGAGCGGTGGTCGTCAGGCTGAGCAGTGAGATAAGAGGCGGGTCTGGTCTTCTCACCCAGCCTCAGGCCAGCGGGTGCGCTGGGGGCCCAGGAGTAGTCTGGGGGCTCTGGCCTGCGGGCTCTGGAGCCTCACCAAGGCCAATGCTGGCCAAGCCCAGGCCTCCGGGTGGCAGCGACCCTCTCCCCATGCCCGCCTCTGTGATCTGATGGCGTCACCCATCTGCATGGCACCTGCCCCATGTCTGGGCACCCTGAGGAGCCTGAGGCCAACTGGGTCCTAGGTGCCCGGCTCCCTTAGCTGTGACCACTAGATGGGTGAGAGGCACTGGCTGAGCTCTGCCTTCTCTCCAGGACTGGGGCAGGGGAGGGTGACAGCTGCACCTGGGGACCTGGCCTTTCTTCTCACATCAGAGAGGAAAGTTGGTTTGGTGGAGATTTACAAGAGCATTGTGACGGTGCCCTGCCTCAAAAACAGAGCCTGTAGCACCAAGACATTTGCCACAACTCACAACGCCCTCCTTCCCCTTTCGGAGATATGGACTCTGCTGAGAGCTTTTGGAGTTTGGAGTTTTAAAGGCAGAAACCATCCGTCACCTTACAGGACCTGCAGTAAACCTTTCTCTGCTCCAACCTTCGAGGTTTTTATGTTTTTCTGCCTCATTGTGAGTCAGGCACAGAGATCACAGATGGGGCTCTTAAGGTGCCTTGAAGTAGCTGCCCCTGTAGTAGGTGTTGGGGGTCCTGGAGATGCCCACCTCCCAGTCATAAGTCACCCTCAACCACCAGGGCACCAAGAGACCCACCCCAGCTCCTCCTGCAGCTCCGTGAGTGGCAGCAGCGCCTCCTGTGAGCTGGGCCACCTGCCCCCTCGTTGTGCCCCCAGCACTCGTGGTATGTTGCATTTTGTGTCTTCTCACCAACACACAATTGCCAGAAGCACTGGGGGGAATAAGCCATGAAACCTCAGCACTATAATGGAGATGTCTGCAGTTGTGTTTCTTTGTTTGAAAGTGAAAGTGAAGTCGCTCAGTCATGTCCGACTCTTCGAGACCCCATGGGCTGCAGCCCACCAGGCTCCTCTGCCCGTGGGATTTTCCAGGCAAGAGTACTGGAGTGGGTTGCCATTTCCTTCTTCAGGGGGGATCTTCCCAACCCAGGGATCGAACCCGGGTCTCCCGCACTGCAGGCAGACAGTTTGCTTACAGCCTCTTAATTTGGGGGTTGGTTGAATAACACGGCAATCTCTGAAGCATACTTTTCTGATGAGTTTGGGCCACATAGAAATCTCTCCCTCCATCCACATTATGAGCACTTTCCTGAGTCCTGTGCATTTTTTAGCAGTAATATCGGGGTCACAGATTAAACCTGGACTATATATGCCCTCCTGCTATGATTTTCTCTTTCACCGTGCAAGCAGTTTATAAACGACACCTGATTCAGACAACCGGATCCCATTTATTTTTTATTTATTTATTTTTTTGGTGGCACCTCTTTAAAACCACAAATGTGAGATGAACAGTGTGGGCTCTGGGGTCATCATATGGGGTGGAGTCTTGGCTCCCTCTTGAGTTTTTTTTCTTTCTAAACAGGGGCTGCCAGTTTTTCGGTCTTCTGTTTGGGGTGTTGGCTTTTTTAATTTATTATTTTTAGCTGCACTGGGTCTTTGTTGCGGTGCTTCAGCTTCTCGTTGCGGTGGTTTCGTTGCGGAGCACTGACTCTAGTGCGCGAGGGCTTCAGTAGCTGCAGCAAGTGTGATCAGTAATTGTGGCTTCCAGGCTCTAGAGCACAGGTTCAATAGTTATAGTGAATGGGCTTAGTTGCTCCTCAGTATCTAGGATCTTCCCAGATCAGGGATCATCGAAACTGTGTCCCCTGCGTTGGCAGGTGGATTCTTAACCACTGAGGCACCAGGGAAATCCTAGTTGTACAGTTTTTAAGGGAAATAATCTGTATACTGGCTGTGAGTAAATGCCTCCCCCATGCTGAGCGGTCCAGTGGTTATCTGCCCCTTTATGAGGAAGTTTGCTGACTAGAGCATAACTGTCCGTTTGCACCTGAAATGCAGTAATCGATTTTCAGCTCTGCCTTGAATTAACTAATGGATGAATGTGAATGCACATATGGGCACACCAGGAAAGGAAGAGCTGAAAAGGTTTCAAAAATTTCATTAAAAACTAAACACTAATGAAAACAAATCAAAGTGCATTTTGTGGTTTAGAGTGACATAAGCAGAGTCAGATTTGCTTAAAATCTCAACACACTCCTATTCTCATAACATCAATGAAATTAGAGCTATAAGAGAGGTGGGTGGGTGGGGGGGATGGAGGGGGGCCTGAGGCGAAAGCCCTGGACCACTCACAGCACCAATGGCAGGGTCACCCTCCTGAATTATTTAAAGAGCTTTAGTGAGATGCTTGGGCTTCCCCAAAGGGCCAGGTGTAAAGAATCCCCTTTCCAATGCAGGAGATGTGGATTCGATCCCTGGGTTGGGAAGATCCCCTGGAGGAGGGCATGGCAACCCACTCTGGTATTCCTGCCTGGAGAATCCCATGGACAGAGGAGCCTGGCGGGCTACAGCCCATAGAGTCACAAGGAGTCAAACATGACTGAAGCCAAGTTGCGCAGCACAGCACAGGAAGATGCTTAGTATTCACTCACGGGCAAATATCAAATTAAAATAATGAGCAAGGAACTTCCCTGAGGGCCCAGTGGTTAGGGCTCTGCGCTTTCACTGCAGGCAGTGCAGGTTCCATCCTGCACTTACTTCCATTCCCGAAGTAAGATCCCACAAACCAGATGGTCGAATAAATAAAAATAGAATTTAAAAAATTAGGAAAAGCGGTCAACGATAAACACAGGTATGCTTGACACTTCTTCCACCTTATAGAGGAAAATTATTTAGAAGGTATGTTTTCCTCTTAATGTTTCTCCCAACTTGTGGATGAGTAGTGCCGTGGTCACACGCGCGCACGCACACACACACACACACACACACACCCAGTCGTTCCTACTAACGCAGGTGTGTCTCCTGTCCTTCAGAGCCTGTGTTCAAAACACCGGCCTTCCTGTGGAAGCGGACCGAGTGCATGAGCGCCTCTCGACTATGTCCGAGACGTCCTCCCACGACTCCTTCTACGACTCGCTCTCGGACCTGCTGGAGGACGGCGAGAATGCGGCCTTCTTCCCGGGGCTGTCGGCCTTCCTCAGCCAGGAGGAGATCCACAAGAGTCTGGACCTGGCCCGCAGAGCCATAGCCAGCTCGGAGACGGACGACTGCGCCTGCGAGGAGGTCCCGCAGCGCTGCAGCCCCTCGCCCAGGAGCCGCCGGAAGCCGCCCGCACCTCAGGAGGCCCGGCCGGGCGAGCGTGCGTCCCCGGGGACACCTGGGGACGGCAGGCGGGCACCTGCCACGCCTCCGCCAGCCGAGCAAGCTGAGCGCATCTCCTCGCCCGCATCGCGGAGGAAGCCCGGAGTCTCGCCCCTGCTGGCCAGGCCCAGCTACATCCGGAGCCTGCGCAAGTCTGGGAAGCAGGTGGCCAAGGCCCCCGGCGCCAGCGCCAAGCCCAGGGTCGCGCGCCCTGGCAGGGCCGGCCCCCAGAGCCCGCTGAACGACAAGGCGGCCACCCTCATCGAGGAACTGACTTCCATATTCCGAGAAGCCGCCAAGCCCAGAACCAGGAGCCCGGACGGGGAGTCCTCATCCCCGGACAGCGGGTACCTGTCCCCTAAAAACCAGCCGTCAGACCCAAGGAGCGCCTCGGCCAGCCGCAGCCCCACCCGGGACCAGCAGGACGTGGAGGCCAGGGCCAGGCTCCCAGCGCCCGGGCATCACCCCACCCGGGACCGGCAGGACGTGGAGGCCGGGGCCAGGCCCCTGGCGCCTGGGCATCACCTCACCCGGGACCGGCAGGACGTGGAGGCCGGGGCCAGGCCCCCAGCGCCTGGGCATCACCCTCCGGTGGCCCAGGATGTGGCCCGGCGCAGCCGCAGCCCCTCGTCCCCACCGCCCCTCAGCGCCCGCCACCCTCCAGCCGCTCCCCGGTTCATCCAGAAGCTGCGGAGCCAAGAAGTGGCAGAAGGTAGTCGGGTCTACCTGGAGTGCAGAGTCACTGGGAACCCTCCTCCTCGGGTCAGGTAGGACTCTGGTTGCGGAGATGTGATGCTTTGCGTGGACTTCCACTCTTACTTTAATGTGAGAGAAGAGATTTCTGTTACAAGGCAAGGGCTTGGCTCCCCAAGCACACAGAAGCAAGTATTATGGCCCTGGCTTTTGAGAAAAGAAAAAGCTCCATTGCGAGTTGGACCAGCAGGGAGACAGGAGGCAAGGTTCAAATCCAGTTCTCGATCCAGGGATCAGGGTGGAATTTAAGGGTTTAGGAAATTTCAAGCTTGGAAGCTGCCTTGATGATAGTCCACAGTTAGCACCTCATGCTGGAGCCAGGTCGTCCTCACTGAGGGACTCCTCACTTTGTAAAGCACAAGTGTGGCAGCTTTTCTACGCTCCGATATCTGCAGACTGAAAATACTGGGTTTGTGGTCGTCCTGGAAACAGCTAGGGAGCAGGGGTTGGGGGGGGCGTGGGTAGGGGGGCCCATCTTGTACTTGCACGGTGCTGTCTCCCTACAGTAACTGCAGGTTTCCTCAGTACACCTATGTCCGTTTAAGCTCGGTGATATTTTGCATGCGTTTTCTTTGTTCGTGCCTCAGTCTTGAGGGAAGTAGGGGTGAGGCCTTCTGCTAGCTGCTTTCTGCTGATGAGGGATTTGGGTTTTTATGAGAGGAATGAAATTGTTTTGCACTTACCTATAAATATTTGCGTGTCCCCCCTTGAACTCTGAAGTCTCAGGCAATCATCCTGTGAGTCTGGGCAGGGTCGGGGGCGGGGGGGTAAGTTGTGGGGGGCGGTGCTCTTTAAATGTAGGAGGTGGACAATGAGGACAGAATTTGATGAGTAAGAGGATTAACCCTGAGATACACAGAACTATGGCTCCTAACTTTAACAGTCCTTCCAAACAGACCTTATTTCTTTGGGAATCCATGAAAACCTGTTTTTAACATTTTAGTGATTGAATTTGGATTTATGTAGGCCTATCCCAGACTCTTAGGTCAAAGTGGTCTGCTTTTGAGATGCTACTGTCTTCTCGTCTTGGCCAGGTGGAGTCTTAGTTGTCTGTTTCCTTTTGAAGAGTTACTTAAAGTACCTGGGAGTGGGGTGGCCAGGGTGTGACTACTTTAGCTTTCCTGGAGGATGTGTAACCAGGAGGACGTCACAGGGGCTATTTCACATGCCTGCACGGATTCTCACTGTATGGGTTTGTCCAAGTGTGAGGAGGATGCAGTACTGGGGCGTGTGCAGTGCGAGCGGATGTCCATGGGAAACCCTAATGGGCTAGACACATATTTATGTACAGAAGAGAAGACAGCACCACATTTTATCAAACGTAGTGCTGTTACCATTGAGACCTTCAGGAAGGTCTCCCGTAGAACGTGGTGTACAGGCTCAATAGGAGCTTGTTTCCTGGGCCACTCTGACCCTCAGCAGGGAAGCTGGTCAGACCTTATCCCAGGTTACTCTGGTTTCTTGGCTTGTCTTGGCGACTGTCTTTTTGAAGGAATGATTCATTGTTTCCCCGTGGACTGAGGTCTCCAAGAACCATGAGCTTCATCATGTTCCAAGGGCCTTGACACCTTTGAGTCACCCCAGCCATGAGAGCTCCTCTGTCATCAGTTTGAATCGGAAGAGGCGACCTCAGACAAGGGATTATTTCTTGGGGGAAGGCCTCTGTTACTGCAGAACCTTTCTCTGTCCTATGTGGAAAAGCCTTGCCACCGCGATGGCATCACCAGCGCCTAGACATTTCTACAGTGTCCCTGGCACTTGGTGTAACAGTGAAGTCTATTTAACCACCATCCCCTGGATCTGTCCCTCGGGCATGCAACCCTTTTATCATCAGGGTGGCTCAGTTTTAGGACTGTTTCTGGTGCAGATCAGGAGTTAGCATTACCTTTTGGATGCTCATTTGCATTTACCAACAATGAACTGCTAGAGTCCATGACATGTTGCAGCCCTCCCATCACGGGTTCCTTGGTGTAGATGAGTAAAATTCTGTCCATTAAACGTTTGGGATAAACCCATCATAAACCCGGCCTCTGTGGCTGTTTGTCCTTACCGCCATCTAAGTCCCCAGAGTCTGCATGAACTCCCCGTGCATGCTGGATGATCCATTTCCAGATCCGAGGCTTCAGCAAGCATGGTCCACACTCAGAATTAGTGGTAGGGTCTCTGAATCTGGGCCTTTGGTTCTGGATGCTTGTTGTGCCGCTGTATCCACCCAATTATTTCCTTTAATTAAGTGATAATCCATTTTGGGTGACCCAAGCAGCACCCAACGGCTGCTCCTCCTGACATTTTAACAGCATTTATTAATAATAAGGCTTGTGTCTCCTCTGTGTGTTTCATTTCTCTCCTTCCTGACATCAGTGGACCTCTCTTTCCAGGTGGCCCCACACGCACATACAACAGAGAAGGCAGACTTGGAGTCAGTGTGTGTGGTCACTGTCTGTAGCTCCTAGGCTCAGAGTGTGACGAGGGCAGTGAGCTCTGGGCAAAAGGACCCAGAAGCTGGCTTATGCTTCCAGGGCTTCCTGATGAGCTACAACTGCACACTCCCCTTGTTTGTGAAACTGGTCCCATCCTTGAGTATTTCTAAAGGCTGACCAGTCAGATCAGGTCTTCAGTTATTTGTATACACTTGTGAGCAGGCTCTCCTGTTGTCCTGGGCAGCAGAGTGGCTGGGTCTAGAGTAGATACTGCCTGTAAGGTGACATTCGGGATGTCGAGTGGTGTGCCTGGTATTTGCCCCATCTCCCTGAAGTAAGCCCATATCCACTGTTTTGTTCTAGTAAAGGCAGTGCATGATGTGGGGTGTGCCGAGTGTTCATTTTTTAGCCTCTTGTGAAAGGCTGCAATCACAGCCCAGAGGCAAACTGGCAATCCTTGATATAGGTGCCCAGTTGTTTAGAAAAGTAAGCTACAGGCCTTCTGTTGGTATCTAAGTGTTGACTTAGCTCCAAGACTCATGCCCCATCTTTCATGGACAAAATACCTGGGCAACCAAATGCTGGGCTCTTCAAAGTTTCTCCTTGGTGGTGTGGAACACATTATGACAGCTCAGAGTCCAGCTTAATGGCTTATTGTCATTTCCTTTAAGAGCCTCATGTTTGTGTTTGGCTGAGTCCAAGATCAGGAGTCCAAAGACAACAATACTCAGCCATTCCTAGGAATCCTCACAAGCGCCTTCTGGAGGTGGCTGCAGTCACCCTAGTTAATGTCTCTCTTCCATCTGGCAGTAAATTTCTTTGTCCTTTTGATACTTCAAACCTTAACTAGTTTAGAGTTGGTTGAGAAATTGTGTGCTCTTCCCTTGCAAACTTTATCTAATCGTATTTTGGTCTTAAGTTTCCTTAGTTCTACTAGCAGTTATTCACACATTGGCGTAAGGCTCCCTCATTTAATGGGAAATCCATTAAGTCCATGGTGAAAGCTTCCCTGAAGATGGTGGGGGTGCTCTTAAATCCTTGTGGGAGTTCCATCCAGCAGTGTTGTTGTTTCACATCAGTCTCTGGATCGTCCCATTAAAAGACAAACCCCAAGGACTCAGGACTTAGGGGTATTCAGTAAAAGCCATCTTTTTTCCAGTCCAAAACTATAAACCAGCAAAAGTCTCCAGATAAAGTTGTAAGCAACATCTACGGATTTGACATCATCACATTATTTCCTCTACAATTTGGTTAATGGCCTTCAAATCATGAATAGAACAGTTATCTCTGGTCCTGGGTTTTTGTATGGATGGGATGGAAGTGTTACATGAAGAGCAACAAGGTCTGAATAACTGATATTTAAAGAAGGTGATTGTCATAGGCTTTATACATTCCTTCATGTGCTTCTTTAAATGCTTGTTGCTTTATATTTGGACTTCCTTGATGGCTCATAGGGTAAAGAATCCGCCTGCACTTCAGGAGACCTGGGTTCAATTCCTGAGTCGGGAAGCTACCCTGGAGAAGGGAATGGTTACTCACTCCGATATCCTTACCTGGGAAATTCCATGGACAGGGGAGCCTGGTGGGCTACAGTTCATGGGGTGGCAACGAGTCAGACATGACTGAATGACTGGTACTTACTTACTTACTTAAATTTGGAACCTTGTCCCCTGGACAGAGTTTTACTGCTACCGGGACAGCTGTCTTGGCTCTTTCTGGCCTTCCATTATTCCAAACATCGCTCTTAACCTTTTGCAGAATTTCTTCAGGACATCCAGGTGAGGCTTGATCTTCCAACTGTAAAGGTGCAGCTTGGAGGGCAGAGGCTTGACCTGGGAGTGCACTTGATGTTCCCCACAAGGGAAGAGGGCATCAGGGCAGGTCCAGCTGGGTGTCCCACATCCACAGCAATGTATCGTCTGTCAGCCTTCAGCCCTGTCAGGGAAGGAGGAGGTGTTCCCCTGGGCCCTTGCTATACTCCCTGGATCTCGGTCAAGCTATTTGGTTCAGGACCCCCGTTGAGGTCTGGTTATTAAACATTCCTTAGCCTTGCTCAATCCCCTTGGGTCACTGGGGTCCCTTCTGGGTCAGCTCCAGGCATGGTCTGTGCCTCCCAAGTCCTGATTTGATGATCTGGTTGTGATTTAGGCTGCTGCTGCTAAACCACTTCAGTTGTGTCTGACTCTGTGCAACCCCATAGACGGCAGCCCACCAGGCTCCCCCGTCCCTGCAATTCTCCAGGCAAGAACACTGGAGTGGGTTGCCGTTTCCTTCTCCAATGCATGCATGCATGCTAAGTCGCTTCAGTCATGTCCAACTCTGTGAGACCCCATAGACAGCAGCCCACCAGGCTCCTCTGCCCACAGGATTCTCCAGGCAAGAACACTGGAGTGGGTCCCCATTTCCTTGTTCTGTGTGATTCAGGCAGCCTTCCCTAATACCATCCTGTGCTTCTCCACAGGAGGGTGTTCATGAAGGCCTGCATGCAGCCCAGTTAGGGTGATGAGTGGTGAACCATGTAAAGAGATTCTCTGTTTTCTGAGGGTCATCTCAGTAAGATGGCTTATTATTTCTCCAATTGTGTAAGTTCAAGC